TCGAATATATTAAACTATATCTAAGATCCTCTAGTGTAATAAGAGAGATAGTTGATTATCTTTCTTTGTAAACTATAAATTAGAAATCATCTATTACTTAATAGTTAAATTATACTTAACTCATAGGGTCTTGTAGTAAACCTAAAATAACTTTTAAAATCACATTAAAGCCTCCAAGAACTTTCAAAAATCACACTAAACTCCTAATAACTTCCAAAATCACACAAAAAACCCAATAACTTTATAGAAAACCCATAAAGTTGATACTGTTACTTCTGACGTGACACATGTAACTCACGTGATTAAAAAAGAGCAAAATCCCCCTTAAATTATTAAAATCCCCTTGGGCCCTTTTATATTATCAACCATAAAATTAGAAATTACTCATTTTTGTCATTCGTTTTTCTATTGTTTGCTTCAAGGTTGGAGTCCTGAACCTTATTTGTTTTTTTTTCTTTTGCCTAAACTTTCCTTCAAAATAACTTTTTTTAATAATTGTTTTTCTAGTTTATGCAAAAATGCAGAAACTTGTTGAGGTTTACCACAATTCTAAAAGTTACTTATTGTTTAGTATGATTTTGAAAGTTATTGGGTGTTTAGGATGACTTTTGAGAGTTCTTTGGGTTTTTTTTTTTTTTGGGTGGGGTGTTAGTGTGATTTAAAATTTATAGGGTATTTATTGCAAAATGTTAAAAGTTCATGGGGGCCTAGTGTAATTTTCCCTTTAATTAATACATACTACTATTTTATATGCATGATAAAATAGAAAATGAATCCATCATATAAGGTTTCTAATTTAATATTAAAATAGCATATGATACATGATTTTTTTTTAATGTGCTTATGTCGCACTGTTTTGTATCTTTGAGAGTAGTTCTCTACTTTCTCATTGTATCATAACATTATTATACATAAAAGGACGGATAATCCTTCGGTATGTCTGAACTCGAAAACCCGGTACCAATGCTAAACCTCGCCCACACCACCTATTAGCCCAAGGGAAGAAAGCCAGCCCATACAAGTCGGACCAATTACAGGCCCAACTTCAAGCCGAAGGTATTTTACCCTTAGCCCAACTTCCGCTTCCTCCGCCCTCGATAGACCCTGTCAAAACCTCTCTCTCTCTCTCTCTCTCTCCGCAGCCATGGCGGGAATCAAAAACCCTCGAATCACACCTTACACGAATCGAACGCATTCGCGGGCCCACTTCCCAACAGCCGCGCCTGGGCCTAGATCGTCGATGGACCCGCTCGGTCTGGAGGGGTGGGGGCAGCAATCGGCCCCGCCAAGGAGCGCCTCATGCTCAACCTCGTCAAGGAGGAAAGATCGCGGGGGCCGGGCGTGCGTACTGCGCGTAGCCCGGACCGGAAACGCGATTGCGATGGCGGCTGGCCAAGTCGCTAGGACAGGAGACGCCGGTCAGCGAAGTGTCGGCGTCGGAGCTGTTTTCGCTCGAGATGTCGAAGACGGAGGCGTTGATGCAGGCTTTTAGGAGGGCGATTGGGGTGAGGATTAAGGAGGAGGGGGAGATTATTGAGGGGGAGGTTGTTGAGATCTCCATTGATCGCCCTGCTGCAGGTTTGAGAATTGACCTTTTTTCCTTTTGGTAGTATAGAGTTTGAAATTGAATCTAGGCCAGTCTCGATGATGCATTTTAATTGGGTAGTATGCTTTTACTAATTTCAGTGAGTATTTTGGTTAACAATCAACGAGGAAGAAACTCTAAAGATAGTGCGTAGTGTTTTTGCTTATTCTTTGGTCAATTGATCAGCCAGCTTGCAGGATGGGGTATTAAGTTTTATGTTCGTAACTCTGTTTTTTGGCATTGCGGTTTGCTGGGGTTTAAAATTTAGTAAATTTTGGGCTGTACAAGTTTAAAATTGTGAGAAAGGTTTGAAATTTAGGTCATCTGGCTATATTTCAATTGTGAGAGAAGAAGAAACTGCCTCTAGATTTTAACTGTTGAATGTCTTTGTTTTAAAAAAAATCCATGGTAAAAAAAAACTTTAAAGATAACTTCTGAACATGTAAGTTCATTTTTTTTTGTTAATAGATGGAAGTCGGTAAGCATTAGTGCTAATATGCGTAAACTCTGGCCAGAGTTAAATAAATTGTATCATTTTCTTAACATTGAGTTTGAAACTGTGAGAAAGGTTCAAATTTAGGTCAATATATGAATAGACTGAAACTGAAACTGAGATATTAGCTGATTCAGTGAAAATTTTTTTGGTAATAAACCATGGCACAATATGCTCATTAATCTTTGCTAATTGTGTAGCATTCATAGTAGTGTAGTGATGGTAGGAAATTTAGTGCTAATAAAATTCTGCCCAGAGTTAAGTAAATTGCATCTAACATTGTGGCTAAGAAGTGAATGCAAATTCAGCTATACCAACATTTACGGAAGGGAAAAAGAACTAGAAAACAGATGTAACTATAATTTTTTATTGTACTTGTTCTTTATCATATAAATGCTTGAGAACATTTCAACTAATATGAACTTGAATGTTTGAATAGGTGGTTGTTTCATTTTTGCGGTGTTTGGCTAATGGTGAGTCTTTTCTTGTGTTGAGTTACACGGCTACGGGTTTGGGGTACGAATATGGTTATGGGACACGACAGATTCATAGAAGGTAGGGTATGGGGATACTACTACACATACGTTTATATATAACAATTATCTACAATAAATCAATATTTTCTTCTTCTTTTTCACATGTTATGAAATAAAATACCTACAAACTTTCTATGTTTCTTTTATTATCTATGGATATGTAATTTTTTTTAAAATTCATATCCGAAAAACCTTTATAATCATAGTATCTCCCAAGTGCACACAATTCATGCATGTTTTAGTCCTTATGTACTTAAAAAAATATTCGAGCATGACAATGAATGTTGATAAAATTAAGAAGGTTTTAAAAAATTTGAAAACATTAAAAATATAATTAGGTGTAACAATAAAAAATATGAAAGCTTACATATATTTATATATTGTATTCACTTACTTTTGATATTTTTTTTATAATACCGTATCATATCATGTCACATAATCTACTTCCATGAGTATGCTTGGTACCAAGCACAAATTTTTTGCATAAAATACCCATGCTATGTGAATGTGGATATGCTTGGTACCAAGCATAAAGTATCCGTTTTGGTGTCCTATTCCCATCCACTAATTCCAATTCCCAACAACTCCCCAACCTATGTGAATGTGGGCCCCGATTTCAATGAGTGGAGGGGCATATGCCACCTTACTACCAAGCACAAAAACTTGTGCTTGATACCAAGCATACCCATTTCTCTCACTCTCTCTCTCTCTTTCTATAACATCCATTTTTGTAACTTGTTGATAATGATGGGGTTCGTTTTAGTCTTAAGAACTATGATTTAAAAGGGTTGTTTACATATATAGCCGAGAACTATGATTATATCCTATGTGTTTCAGCCGTGTTTTCGTATCTTGCTCTTTACAAATTTGTCGTGTTCCGTACCCACACCCGGACATGTACCTGTGCAAATTAGCTTGCAAATAAAGGGATTTGAATGAAGGAGAAAAAGTACGTCTTTATTTCAATTTCTCTCCCAACCTCACATTACACAGGCGGATGTGATGGCTTCTTACAATTTGCAAATGTGAGATGTGATCTTTTTCCGAATTTAGTTAGGGGAGTTAAAAATAATTAGTTACGGTAATTAAAAAAAAGGCTCAGTTATCTATCAAAAGAAATAGCTAATGTTTTTTGGAATTTGTGGAACGTGGGTTCTTTTCAAGATTATTATTATTTTTCAATTTTTTTTTCATTTTCCTAATTTGACCCTAAGATGAAGTAGAAATGAATTAAAATTTTGAGTGTAGTTTTTGGGATTTTGAAAAATTGACCCACATGACCAAAATGGGGCTTTTCTTAAATAAGAGCAATAGATAGTTTTGATTCTTTTGAACCGGGTAAGGGCTAAAACAAACACATCTTGTGCCCAACGAATTTCAAAGATTGCCTGTGAAGTGTAGGATGTGTGTCGAAAAAGTATACGTCGAATATTTTAGACTAAATAAAACAGGTAATATGTAAATGAGTACTCATTTGAATAAGGATATGTTAACATCCAATGAGTGTCCATTAAAATTACGGTGTTGGGTATGGCTACGACTCCAAATAGAAGTACCCATGCTACGTAGGTCTTTTGCTATGACTATATTGTGCATAAAGTTTTGAATAGTCATTTTGGTGATTTTCATTTTATTATCATCAGGAGGAGACTCTAAGTCAGCTTCCAAAACGGGGAAGTTGACTATGAAGACAACAGATATGGAGACGGTGTATGAATTAGGGGGCAAGATGATAGAGGCATTGAACAAGGAGAAAGTGCAGAGTGGGGATGTGATTGCATTGGATAAGTCATCCGGAAAGGTGACAAAGCTTGGGAGGTCAATTGGCAGGTCAAGGGATTATGATGCCATGGGTCCACAAACAAAGTTTATTAGGTGTCCTGAGGGGGAGTTGCAGAAAAGGAAGGAGATTGTCCATTGTGTGACGCTTCATGAGATTGATGTTATCAATAGCAGGTTTGGTTGCTTTGACTCTTATTTTTAATGTTTGACGGTAAACCTTTCCTCATGAGTAAATATACGGTATCTCAAAATTGATTTGAATTTTTCAAAATGATTTGTTGCATCAGCACATGTTCTGATTTTGGTACATTTGCCTGGTTTCTTTTGTTAAAGCATTTAATGTGAGTTACATAGTATGTAATGTCTACATTGCTAGGCAAACCTGCTTTTGTTTGTAGAGAACACGTATGTATACTTTCTCCTTTGTTGTATACTTTCTCCTTTGTGCATAGGGGGTGTTTATGAACTCGAGATATATTTCCATCAAATGTTGAGGCATTAAGATAGGGTTAGCAGGCGATGTCGAATCAAGTGTTTGAAAATTCTTAAGAGAGCTAAATTTCTTACAACCCTCTTGCATATATAAGTGAATGTTATGTTGAAGGCCGTTCATGCTACATGAGAAATTCTTGTAGTGTGCTTAGTTTTTGAAGGAGCACACAGATCATGTAAGTTTCTTTCTTTCGTTCTTTTCTATGTTAATGGGTAAGCGAGCTGGTGATGGTTAGTGATTGGGGACATTGTGTGGGGTTGGGTATGGATGCTGGTTTGGGTGTGTGTTAGGCTGTGTGGTCCATGGTTGTGGTTTGTATTAGCATTTCTCCTTCCATATATAATGCAGAGCTAAGTTAGAGCTCAAAATGCAATTTTGAGAAATATCTCAACCATACTCTCTCCATTTCTTTCTCTAAAATTTACATACCAAAGTTCAATCTTTGTTCTTCAAGTTGGTATTCTTAACCACCGAATATAGGTCTGAAGTATTGTTGCAAGTTTGGGATTTGGCCCATCATGCACTCTCACCACTAGGAGATAGATTGTTCTGGTTAACCTGCACGATGTCAGGTATCTTATTGTTCTGGGAAAATGCTCTTGCGCAATTGGTACCCTGGCTAGTTTTTTAATTCCCGTAGACCGCTATCCATTCGTCATTCTGTTAAATTATTCATGTGCATAACATTTGCTAACAATTCCTACAGGTAAATCTTTTATGAAGTTCAATTGTCTCAATTTACATTTATTTGTTTGAGTAATTCCTGGACTTGATACTTCTAAACACACTTTTTAAACTATATTATTTTAATCATATTCATGTTCGACTTATCAATCAATATTCCCTTTTAAGGACTAGTATTAAGACATTTAATCAACATAAGTTGCTACGTGTGATCCATTATAAAGTAGTCCTCAAGGATCATAGATATAGCGTGTTATACTACAATGAAATATTGGAAAATGTTCCATTCCTCCACTTGGGAGCATGATATATCATATTGAAATATTGAAACTAAGAAACTAGATACACTAAAATTTCTCGTAATTAGGTTGACATAACAGAAGATTGGTGGGGTGGACTCAGACAGCTAACCGCAATTTATAATAATTTTTCCCCTTTTCCATTCAGTACATTGTTGTAGTTGTATTGTTTCCAAATAAAAGGATTCTTCAAGGTTTCTTCCTCTTATTTAGGTAACCTGTTACTGCCTTAGTTTCTTTCCAGGTAATGTTTCAATCGACCTATACATAGTACAATGTTCTTTCTTCTGGAAGTTGTAAGCAAAAGAGACCTTGTTTACTTGTGGTTGGTTGATCATTGCTAAAAAGATTTAAGTTTCTGCAGCTTTTGGTGCATTCATTTACTTCTTTTTTTTCCAGTTCTTTCTTTTCATTTAATTATTTGTGTTTCAAGATTATATCACAAATTCCCTGGGACTAACTTCTATTCACACTCGTGCTAGTCAATGAAGCATCTTTTGATTGGGTATTTGAAGACATTGGCTCAAAAATGCTTTTCAGATGTTATATACTCTAAATATGTAATCATTCAACTACTATTCTCATGTGCTATTCATTCATTATCTTAGGTTATGGACAACATTGCACTTGCCAGTTTTAGGGACATACTGATTTTGGTTTTTGTTTCCGCATTCATCTTGCTCAAGTTCTCAGTATGGACATTTTCTGAATGCTTATATTTGCCTAAAGGCGAGGAAAGGCTATCTTGGCTTGTGTTTTTTTACGCTTAAATGGGTTTTTTAAGAGATGTTTTGGAACTTAACCTCTGGTCATATTATGCAAAAACAACCAATGTCATGATTTACCACCGAGTCATCCTATTCCTGCAGGCTACAAGTAGGCAGGTCAATTATAAAGTTGATCCAGCTAGCCATGTGCATTTTTCTGACCAGCCATCTTTAACAAATTTGTCAAGTAATTAGATGCATGCTTGACCTTCCTACATGCAGTTACTTTAACTTGACTTAGGTAATTCATTTTTGCAATGGTTGACAAAATAAGTTTACACATCTGACATAAAATGTTCACTTAAGAATAAATAAAGCTTTAAGCACACAAACACAAGGCATAAACTTGAAATGAACTAGCATTAATTAAGATTTATACTCAAGGTTCAGAGATGATAACATATGCATTGTTTCCTGAAATTGATAGATGTTACCAAAAAACAAATTTTATATATGTACAGTACTGCATTTACCCTAGAAATAAAGTAAATTTGAAAAACCTCAATGAACGAAACAGGAAAATCAGATTGCATATGCTTACCTTGTTGACCACTTTTTCCAAATTAAGGAAGCAGACCTGACGAATATTCATTAAGATGTGATGTCAGATGCATTTCAGACATAACTAGGTTGGTTAAGAGACTCTAGGAAATGGGTGCTTTAAGATTGGAGTTATCAGAGGACCATCTCAAATAAAATCCACAGTGAGTGTTCAAATCCATGTGAAAATTATGGAAAACTTGAAGGAAGTGAATCTTGCAGTCTTATATATTGGATGAGCTATGCAGTTCCATGATGTCAGAGACGCGCTTTTCCCCATAATAATTTAACAGTTCGGGTGTTGAGATGGCTAAAATGGGCTCTGCAATTATATCTTTGGTATCCATGCACTGTACTTTGCATCACCATGCAGATGAGACTTGTTGTAGCTATCATCCAATGCTGGAGCTCCGTTCCTGTATGTTAGGGTGTTACTTGTTCAGGATTCTTAATTTTCTACTACTGTTCTTGGCATCTATTGAGGTGATCGATGAAATGCTGCACACTAAAGCTAAGAATGGATTCAAGCGATCAGTCAATCAATCCCGAAATTATGAAGTGCCAGTTGATTGAATTTGATGTTAGGTAGAAGCGCTGGATCAAAGAAAGCTTCGACTGCTTAGCTTCTTTTTGTGCTGCTAAATAGATCTATTTTTATATACTTGGAGTAACTCAGTAGAAGATTGGGGTTCTTAAATGAGCAAAAATTTGGGTGATTTATAATAAGCTGAGTTGAATGGACTAACTTAAAACAAACTAAAATGACCCTATTGAAAAAAAATTGAGCCTCGAGATGTCGGTGATGTTTCCTTGGCTAAGTCGAACACATTCCAAATCCAAGCTAGATGGATGTCCAAGAGGACAGAAGCCATGCAAGATGCTGTTGCAGATATTATCATAGAAACTCATCTAGCTGATTAGTTTTCTTGTTTCAAGATCCAGGTGTACTGTGTGTGAAAGAAAGAACTAAGGATCACATACAAATTAACTGTGAAGCAAGGAGTATGATAGTCACCTTTTTGTTAAATTTTATGTTAACATTTCATAAACGTTATGGCTTGTAATCATAGTGTTCCTACTGTGAAATGTTACACAAGCAAATTTACACATACACACCTTCACATGAATAAACATGCTCACTCTGACAAACATGTATGTACACATCCACTAATGTATTGCATATGTGCATGTGCATGCATGCATGTTTCATTCATATGTACCTAAAACTTGAATGTGCAAGGGCAATGGTTCTCGAATGTTTCTGTCGCTTTTGGGGGTTAAAAACTTGAACATGCAAGCAATGGTTCTGGCTTCTTGGCCTAAGTTGCAGACCTACAAAGTAAATAGAGCTTATCTGAAGTGATAGGTCTCTGAACCACAACTTTATGTACATACCACCATTTCTGACCTGTGAGCATTATGTACACTGAACATATCTCATTAATTAACCAAATGCTAATTTTCTCTCTCATATTATGTGCTCTTTAAGTTAAATGCCTTGCCCACTGATATTTTGGTTATTTGATGCACTGGATGTGCATATTCAAACGAATTATGTTTTGAATAAATTTGTAAAGATCATGCAGATTGCCAGAGTAGTGTACCTCTTTGTGTGGTTTCCAGTACTTGCTCATTTTAAGAATTTCTAATAGAATTCCTATAATTGGTTATCCAACTTGAAAGTTATCCATATTGGGACAAAAAATGTGGTTCTTAGACAGGTGACTGTGGGAGAAGAAACAGCACATGGAATTTAAAATTTTAGTTTAATTAGATGAACTCTATGCAGCAAATTGATACCGCCTTGTACTCCTGAGGCTAATGGTTCAAAATTTCCAGGGATTACTTAAACCATGGTTTTAGTTGGTTCCTAACCGTGCACGCATGAGTTTCTATCCCAGCATCTATGCCATTGCTGTTTGCCTGCAAGGGAATCATTGTTTTCCTCTTATAGTTGTATTAATTATTGTTTCTTGGCTACTATTGGTTTCTTGGAATGATAACATGTCTTGAAGAAAATGACAGATCTGAGTACTTTTCCTTAGATTAACTTTCTTGGTCTTTCATTTTCCAGTTTTATTTTGATATGTTGTGATTTTGTGGATCTTCCAATGAACAGGACTCAGGGCTTTCTAGCCCTCTTTACGGGAGACACTGGCGAAATTCGTTCTGAAGTGAGAGAACAGATCGATACAAAGGTAGCAGAGTGGAGAGAGGAAGGAAAAGCTGAAATCATCCCTGGCGTTCTCTTCATTGATGAGGTCCATATGCTCGACATTGAATGCTTCTCCTTCCTCAACCGTGCATTGGAGAATGAAATGGCCCCTATTCTCGTCATTGCAACGAATCGAGGAATCACGACCATCCGTGGCACAAACTACAGGTCTCCACACGGAATTCCCGCTGATTTTCTTGATCGTCTCCTTATCATATCCACACATCCATACACTGAAGAGGAAATACGAAAGATCCTCGATATCAGATGTGATGAAGAAGATGTCAATATGTCTGAAGAGGCGAAATTGCTGTTGACGAAGATTGGAGTTGAGACGTCGTTGAGGTATGCGATTCATTTGATTACTGCTGCTGCTCTTGCTTGCCAGAAGAGGAAGGGGAAGGTGGTGGAGATGGAGGACATAAGCAGGGTTTATCAGTTGTTTCTTGACGTGAAGAGGTCAACTCAGTATCTGATGGAGTATCAGAACCAGTACATGTTCAATGAAGTGTCTGGGGACATGTTAGATGATGGAGATGAAACAACAACGCTGGCCTGATATGTAGAATATCTTACAAGGAGGAAGCAAATGGCAATTTGTAACACATCACAAATCTTGTTGCGCATACCACTAATGAGTCACTGTAACTTTACTGATAGTGATTGCTGCACTGATATTAACAATGGTGATATGTTAGATGCTACCCCCTCTTTTCTCGTTTGACAATGTTATTTAGCTCTAGCACATCTTTTCCCTTCAGAACAAACTTGTATTATTTTCTTGTAAAAGTGTAGTTGGGGTTACCGTCAACATTTTGGGCTAGTGTTGACGTAGCTACTTCATTTTATCAGTGTTAATCTAAGTTATAACAAGATATTGTGTGCGGAGAACTACTTAATGTTTACTGTTTGTTCTCCCTCTGGGGAAAATGTTACTTGTTCATGTATGTGATTCAAATTTGATACAGCTAATTTAGTACAGAGCAGGACAACCGGTTATTTTCATTATCCAAAGCACTTTCGAGATGCCTGCGCAATAATTGCTCCCTAATAATAATTAACTGTTTTCAGTATTATTACCATGGTTCTTCTGTTTTCTTATCAATCGAATTTTAGCCTTTTTTCTAGAATAAGAAACTTTAGGATGATTGGTCTGGGAAAATGTTAATTGTTCATGTATGCGATCCTATTTTGAAATAGCTAATTTAGTACAGAGCAGGACGACCGGTTATTTTCATTATCCAAAGTACTTGCGAGAAGCCTGCACAATAATTACACCCTATTTATAATTAAACTGTTTCAGTATTATTACCATGGTTCGTCTGTTTTCTTATCAATCGAATTTTAGCTTTTTTCTAGAATAAGAAACTTTAGGATGATTGGTCGCACAACCTAATAAGAAACAAAAAATCTTCCATGAGCACTATACTACATTATTAGTAGGAAGGTGTGTAGCACAAGACAAATTATTTAATTCCACTATCTCCTTAATTATAAGTGGTTTGTGTTGATATCAGATATTTAATAGGGGAGTTTAGTGTGGATTATGGAGAGTTTCGGGTTTCTCAATTTTCTTTAATGGTTAATTATTGAGTAGAGGATTTGATCCTGCACACAAACAATATGTAAGAGGATCAGAATTGGGTTTTCCGGGGCGCCTCCGACATTCAAGTCGGTATCGATCTTAAGTGGAGGAGATAAAGTATGATTGATATGTATTATATTGCAAAAGATTGTGTACCTTCATGCAGTAGGCAATGTAACTATTTATAACAGATCCAGAAGGGCAGTTGTGTGACTTCAGCCGAGTCCAAGCAGTCAGCTTATTCGGCTGATATTTTACAGGTATCGGCTGTGGTGGTATGAGTCACCTTTGTGATTAATGCGACGGTGACAGGGAGATATTTTACAGGTATCGGCTGTGGTGGTATGAGTCACCTTTGTGATTAATGCGACGGTGACAGGGAGAGTAAGGTGTTGACAAAGTCAGATGAGTCATCAAGACCTTTAGTGGGGATGTAATGATAACTCCGACCGTGCATTTAATGTGATGGTGATTGGCTGTCAGCGAGGAGTTCGAGAATAACCGCCTTTCATCTTGGCTTTGCAAGAGGGCCAAGAAAAGACGCCTTGTTTATTAGTCCACTTTGGATTGAGAGCTTTATGACTCGATCTTACAAAATAAAATAGTACAAAGTTGGCCTTAACAATAGGGTCATAGTGAGAATGCCTTTCGACTCGGCCCCTCTCGAAAAAGGGTCGAGTGATGCGTTATTTGACTCGTCCTTCACAGGGTCGAGTCGATTTGGTGTATAGTTAATTCAAAACATGCGTCGTCTCCTGGAGCGTGATTAACACAACCATTTCTATGATACAACACTGGCACCTTTCGCTCGAACTCAAGTAGTCGAGTCCAAGTGAAATTAAACCGTTGCCTATTAGGATTTCGAGGCGTATTTATGAGGGGTCATTGATGGGTCGCTATTGACATGACATTCTAACATCAGAAGGGATCGTGCACTGGCGTTGCTTTGGTTTCTGAGTGGGGATTGCGTGATGTTTAAATAGAGTGGCACTTCAGTTATTGAGTGGTCATTCTCCAATTCCGAAATCCTTTCTAGCCATCCATCAATGGTCGAGTCCAACTGTTATGATCTCACTACGTGTCCGAGTCTTTGTCTATATGTACACTTGCTCTTCTAAGGGGTTAGTTTTACTTTCTTTCAAAGTCCTAGTTCTTTGCAATCTAAACGATTATTGTTCATCTTCATCATTTTCTTCGACGATCTTCTTATACTAGAAATGGCATCTTCTGCTCCGATCGTCGCTGTTCGGAATGAGATTCAGATTAATCTACTTCGGAAATTTCACTCCAAGGTGCATTCGATGATGATGGATGCTTATTATGATCGGTTTGACAATCATAGTGCTTTACACTGTCGGCAACGGAGAAGACAGGCTATGTACAATCATAGCAGCATCATCGTTTCAGTGTATATCAAACACTTAAGAGTATGGTTTGCGCCTTTCGCTCTACCCTTTTCTCTATTGTATGTTCGAAGCTTTGGGGATCTCTGATATGGGTGTATCTTCTCTTTGGAATTTGTGATCCTCATGGGAGCTTGAGGATAGATGATTCTCATGGTAACTTGAGAATAGAGGGGTAAAACAACACAGTGGAATGCAGGTTGAAGCATGGAACGAGACGACGAATCGAAGAATCGAAGCATCCAATTTTCAGCCCGTGAGTCGACTCATACATGTACATGAGTCGACTCATCAGGTTGAGTCGACTCATGCCTGTCATGAGTCGACTCACGAAACCCAGCCGTTTTGTCAAAAGTTTCTTACTAGTCGACTCACCTCATCATGAGTCGACTCACTTGGCATGAGTCGACTCATGCACGTTTATGAGTCGACTCATCGACGGTTTCCTGGTTCGTTTGGGTTTCTGTTTGCACGAATTCCTATAGGGTTTGGTCTTAGTTATTTACCGCTTTGCCATCCACGTTGTTACACCTATATAAAGGATTGTTTTAGGGTTTTTAAAAAAAGAATAAAAGCAATCAAGAGAGATTAGATTGTATTTAAGAATTGAGAAAGATTATTCATCAATTCTAGTGAGATTGTGAGAGATTATAAACTATTTTATTCTCATAATCTAGAGAAGGTATTTTCCTTCGCCACCATTGAATTGTTCTTGTGTTCTTGTTATTTTCTTCTCAGCCCATCTTTGATAATTCCACGATCAAAGATGCTCACACGGTGACTCGTATCAAGTTGGTATCAGAATGATCAGATCCTATGAAGGGGGCATCCTGTGTATGGTACTAACTCGATCGCAATACAAGAAGCTAGGCAAGATCCTTATTTCATTGGAAGAAGTCCAGAAATTAAGAAAGAAGATGATGACTGAAGGAGATAGTTTAGCGAGGCTAGATGCATTGGAGAAACAGATGGAGACAATGAGTTCGACTCTCACACAGCTCGTCAATATCTTCTAAGAAAAGAACAAAAAAGAGGAATCTTCTTCGAAAGGCAAGAAGAAACTTATGGAGTCCGATGGAGAAGGCAAGGAATCTGATTCTGATAGGGAGGCCGAGATTGTCAAAACTGTTTCGTATCAAGGGGGTAAGGGTTCTTACCAGAATTTGAAGATAGACTTCAAGGTAGAGATTCCTGTTTATGATGGGAGTGTCAACGTCGAGAGGCTTGATGATTGGATCGAGCAGATGGAGACGTATTTTACCCTCTACGGATATTCATCCAAGGAGAAGCTTGTGTTCGCGACCTTGAAGCTTTCGGGGCATGCATTGACATGGTGAAAATCCTATTACAAGCAGGGACAAATGGCGGTGTCGTGGAACAAATTCAAAGAGCTACTGAGGAAGTAGTTCTACCCAGTAGGGTTCCTTGAGGAGCGTTAGTATAAGTGGTACGAATTACGCCAAAGGTTCAACCAGATCGTTCAAGAATATATGAGAGAGTTCCAGCAGTAGGTGATGGTTCTCAACATCATGACAGAGGAATATTCCATCTTTGTGAAGTATATGGTGAGTCTGAATGAATATATCCGAAAGGAGATGAAGTTATTCACAGTCGAGTCCATGGTAGGAGCGAGTGTGAACGCCATTGCTATTGAGGGTAGGCAAAAGAAGGGCAACAAAACGAAGGGAGACTCTAAACAGATGGGAGGCAAGTCTAGTAGCTCTCGGTCTAAGGAAGAGAAGAAGAAGGGTGATTCGGGGAAGGCAGGATTGATATACAATCACTGCAAACAGACAGGACACGTAGCTAATCGTTGCTGGGAGAAGTATCCTCATCTGAAGCCAAAAGGATTGAAGAAAAAAAGAGGAGAAGAAGGCATATGTAGTAGCTCAGGGTCCGAAGGAAGTTCCCGGGATAACAGAACCCAATAGCAGTCTCAAGCTTATGGCGGGGAAGCATACCACGACTGAGGATGAAGACCTGAAGGAGCAGCTCTTTGTTTTGAAATTTCAGGTCAAGACCAGCTTGGTTGATGCCATAGTGGATCCAGGGAGCCAGAAGAATTTGATATCTGATGCCTTGGTTCAGAAGCTAGGATTGAAGACGGTTAAACATCCAAAACCCTATCCTTTAGGGTGGATTCAAAAGGAGGCGGAATTGAGTGTGGTCAACCAATGCACTTTCAGATTTGCACTCCATGAGTCGTATATTGACGAGGTCACACATGATGTCATTCCGTTGGATGTTTACCAAGTAATACTGGGCAATCCTTATTTATGGGATAGGTTTGATGTCTACGATAGGCGAGCCCAGAAGTATATGTTCACCAAAGATGACAAGCAATTCATCTTTCATTCGGCATCTCTTCCACAGGAGACGAGTTTGGTGACAATGACTCAGGCGAAGAGGCTTGTGAATACGAATAAGAGGTTTGTATTGTTAGTCATTAGGCCTTATGGGGAGCAGCTGAGTAGGGTGTGCTTGACTACCTTGAGCAAGTTTCAGGAGGGAGATCTTGACAGGTTAAAGGCGAAGTATGTGGACTTGTTTTCGGAGATCATGGGACTACCACCACGACGAGGTGTGGAGCATAAGATTATGTTAACCGGCGAGAGTTCTTTGCCGAATATAGGTCTATACCGTGCATTTGTAGAGGAGCCCAAGGAGATCAAGAGGCAGGTTCAGGGGCTTTTGGAGACAAGAGTGATTGTGCCGAGTTGTTCCCCTTGTAGGTCACCAGTGTTATTGGTGCCCAAAAAGGATAGAGGCTAGTGCATGTGCGTGGATTACCGGGTGTTCAACAAGATAACCATCAAGAATAGATACCCATTACCTCAGATTGATGATCTTATGGACCAGTTGGAAGGAGCGAGGTTTTTCACGAAGCTGGATTTGAAGTCTAGTTACTATCAGGTGAGGATTCGAGAGGATGACACTTGGAAGACTACGTTCAAG